GGCAGATCAAGAATTGTATCCATTTTTCAAGGATACCAGCTAAGAGGCGAGAAATGTAAACAATTTTTCTGCGACACCGATTTGAATTTATGATGACTGAAACGTGGTAGAAAAGAAACGTTTTCCGTAATAGCAATATGAATATTCATACATAAATAATAATTTAGTATTCACTGATAATTATCCTAGTTACTAATATTACGACAATGGCATAGTATAAATGTAAAACAATCATAAATTTTTATTCTTCCAAGCATCCTACTTTTATCATTTTTGTATTAAAGAAAAATTATAATTATAATTTGTTTATATTTAAAAATTTTTAAAGACGACATATTAAACTTGTGTAAATCAGATAAATACGTATACACAATATGTTTTGCATAAAAGTCATATATGAGTAAAAATTTTCAATAAAATTATTTTCAATATAAAACGTAATATAATAACTTGGTTCTCTTGAATGATACGTAGCATACTTCACACAGAATTAACTTTGAAAATGTTTAATTTTGAATTTTAATAAAAAAATTTTATTATCTCCAAAAAATCTGTTGTTAGAATCAAAATTGTGTACAAAATATTTTAAGGAGTAAATTATCGCATATTATTTTCGATAATTCAATCAAAATTATCTGGTTATCTGTTTTTTGTTAAAATTATTGATAACAATTATTATTGAATAACTTATATAAAAATTACCCGATTATGTATTACCCATTAATTTGTTTATTTGAATAAAAGTGCAACATCGAAAAACAATATTTAATATAATGATTTAGAAAGAATTCACGGCACTTTACGATGATCCTGTGCGTAGCGATGCGTTACATTGTTTTATTTTACATTATTGTCCAGGTGGGACCCCGGGTACTCGGGTAATACGGATGAATTCGGTTTGAACTCGGGGCCGGGGCTGTTCGCGCGCGAGCGGGGGTGTTCCTTTATTGAACCGTGCGATGCCAAAGCCCGAATGCCAAAGAGTAGCGGGATCGGAAGGAACGTACGAACCCTCCTTGGTCTCTCTCTCTGCAGTATCTCGGTGCCGGGTAACAGGGACGCATTCCAGGAAGGCGCGCAGCTGCTTTCAGCTACGTCTCGCGTCCTGAAGCCGCGTCTCAGCTACGTTTTCCATATACCCAGTGACTGATTATCGTTGACGCGCGTGAAACGCTCGGCTTGCGGAGACAGAATGGTTACGCTTACTCGACATTTATTTCAAGGAGTTGCAGTAATTATTATTTATTATTATTCCCTCCTAACATTTCATTAAGCCTGACGAATTATTTTTAAGAATTTTATCTATTATTATTGATTACTATTTGATTTTTATTTAATATTAAATACTCAATTAGTTTAAAACGATTGGGTTTTATTAGCTATTATCTTTGAAAGTAATATCTAACGCTCTTTGAATTCTTCTCGATTTAGAGCTCCTGCCAGCGCCATGGATATGAGACCTCGGAAGCTCGGCTCGCGCTCTTGAGGCCTTTGAGTATTCTCCGCCACTGCATATACGCTCTCGTTTCGCTCTCGTATGGGCGCCCCGCCGCGCTGCATTCCTAACAAAGTAGTCATCACGCATTCCTGGGACGCAATCGTGAACTTCCACCCTCGTTAGTAAAAGATGGATTCGTGCGCGCTAGGCTAAAGAGAACACGTTATTAGAATTCATTCCGCGGCTGTCATCGCGAGGTGGCGAGGGGTCGTCGAGTTTGGATTCCTCCGAGTCCCGAAAAGCGTGACGATGCCGTTCGATAGCAACTTTTTTGCGACTCGCGAGACGTTCAGATTGCGAATCGTACCGCGCAAAATCGGATTTCTCGAAAAAACTTGAAATTATAAAATAATTTTTGCTGTAATCGTTGTATAAAAAAAAATTGTATAGAATACATAAGAGTTTATAATGCAAATACCGTGCTACTAAAAATTTTTTATAATTTTTAATTAATATCGTAATTCTAGATTATACTTTTTCAAACATAAACCCGGATTCTGGATATAAAATGGCAAAGATCTTGTGAGCTTGAAACGCAAACTTATAGAGAATTCGGTTGGACGCACTAGTGCGCACCGGTGCACATTCAAGTATCGTGCACAAATTGGTGCAAAAACACACGCTTAGTATACAAGCGGATTGAATCCGCAAGATGTTTAGTGTAATTTATCACTTTACTAGAATTATTTCGGTAGAATATATATGTATAATAGATTTTAAAGCATTTTATGTTATATTATGTCTTGACAATTGGATACGTCAAAATATACTGCACAGTTCAATTTGTCCAGTGCGCACTAATGCACCTTATCGAATTCGCTATTGCATTGCCAAGTGTTAGTTACGCGCATTTTGCATGACAGTTGAAAGTTGACAATCGAAATCTGTACGTTTCGCGAAAGGAATTCCGACGTCAGTGCACGCTGCATTTTCGCGAAACAAAGTGCCTCGGTATCGCATATTTAGGATGCAAGAGCACCCTCTTCATGCGTGACCAAAGGGTGTTTAGGTGATCCGCGAGGGTGGAGATTTCGCCCCCGTAGAACATAATGCCCGAACCGTATCAGCATAATTACACGGTTGGCGTTAGTGTCACATCCCAAACAATATGCCGAAAGGGGATAGCATGGGCCGGGTTACATGCACCTGCAAGAAACCATATTTCATCTGATGCTCTGACGACTTTTGTGCGCCTCACTATGCTTTTACGTGCCGTGAAATGGTAAGGGTCATTGAGCATCCCTAATTTTCCATTGTCCCGAGATAAGGCTGACTTCGATGACTGAATTCTCGATCGAGAATTCGGGTTGCATCTGGAACAGTGCGGCTTTAACCCTTAAATCAATTGCCATCAACAAAGCTGCTATAAATTAAGCTAAATTAGGCTAATATTAATTAATAATAATGATATATTTAATAATAAATTAGTAATAATATATAATAACAAATTAAATTAATATATTAAGCTAATTTTTTGAAAATATATTGAAAATGTCACAAATGTTGCAAATTAAACTAAGAAAAATATTAAAACAATTACATTGTATAATTTTACAATTTTGATTGATAAATAATTTAACAATTATTTAAAATTATATCTTTTAATATCGTTTTCTTTCTCGATTATAATATTTCAAATTTTAAAATATAAGAGAATTCCTTAATTGTTTCATACCCAAATAATCTGCGAAAAGATTTAGATTTTTTGCTTAATTAATAAAAACTAAATTTGTAACAGTATTTTATGGCTTCTTCAGATTTCTGGAATCCACAAGTAGAAGATCTATCGATCGTGCGCGACGTATGGTCGCTGTCGCGTGCGATTAAGAGAGTCTGAATACTAACTGGGCATCTCGTGAGGGGGGTGGAAGAGCCCCCTCGGCCTGCACGTGTTTCCCCCAAATACTTTGCATCACCATTACCGCCAACTTGATGCCCCTTTGTATCGCGCATCGGAGGGGCATGCCATAGTTTCGTTCCCAACTAGGCGTATCATTGGGGGATTCGTAACGCGCGCAGTGTAGGAACAGAGACAAAGAGATCTATATAGGCTTTTATTTGGCAAACATCGCCGATAGACGGCCCGTACAAAGGACGGCATTGTCGCATATTTACGCGGACTGACAAACGGCCAAATATTCGGTGCGCATCGACTTTCGGCGAAAAAATATGTCCGGAGGCACTCTCATTCGAAAGTGGCATCGGTTATTAGCCGAATCCACGAGAACAAAAGTGGTGCACGTCGACGATGGAAAAAGCAGATAGAAAGAAAGAGATGATCCTTGGTCAAAATACTATTTAAATTTACTAATAATTTTTTGTCACACAGTACAGCATTTTAATACTTTCTCATTTTAATATTACCTCTCTATACCTTATTTTGATAAATTTTTATTTCACATTAAATCTAATAATTATTATAGAAAAATTATTTTATTTTTCTAATAAATGTAAAATAAAAAAATCAGTCTTATAAACAACTTGTAACAACTTGTTGTAATGTTTAAATAATCAAAAAATTAATTTATCTAAAATTATTTTGTTTGTTTCTTTGTAATGTGACTTTCAAAATGACTGAACAATCATATAAAATAAACTTTTTAGACTTTCTTGATATTAAAACAGTTTGGTAATTGTGATCGTACGTAAAGACAAGTGATTTGCTTTATGTGTTTAATTTCAAGAGATTAAATAAATTTTTTAAGAAAAATAAGTTATCAGATAATTATGTTACTAATTTTGAGGCTAAATAATTGCTTCTGTAATTGCTTTTTATAATTAAAAAAAATCCGCGACTCGCATTCGATAGTGCATACTACGATATTAGTTCGATTCTTCATTTAATTCTTTGCAGTTCGAAAAATAATGAAATCAATAAATCAATATTAAGTATTTTGTCTTATTTTAAAGCTATTAGCCTAAGATAAACGTAGCAATTAATTTTCATTATGTAGAAAATTATAGGAAAATTAGAAAAACATAGTTCGCTAATCGCAATCATGCGTTGCTTCAACTATTTGAGGAATTATATATACTATAGGATTAAAGCACTATGTGTTGAGTCTACCTCGACACAGAACCGCAAGGGGTTAACACATATCTTTGTATCGCATTCCTCAAATAGATCTAAGTGGATTGAGTTCGTTTTGCATGATCGCTCGTCAAAGTAAAGACGATCCCGGCGGCGCCCAAGATCGATGTCCGTCGAGTTTGCCGAGATACGTCACTGAATCCTACGATGGTCGGCCGGATATTGATCCCCTGCTCGTACGTCGCCGCCGGTTGAGCACCCACGGCGTCATTTCACCCCTCCAGCTCGCTCAGGCCAGGGCGGTTCCTAGCGACGCCAATCGCGCTTCCACCGCCGGCTCTGCAAGCAAGGGATGAACCCGCCCTCTTCACTCTCGCGTCGATGCCTCGTCTAACTCCGATGACGGCGTCGAGGCGCGGGCGGGTAGGGAAAGCTGCGCTCCAGGGGTCGGGGGGGTTATACGCCGTCGGAGAGAGAGGGGGCATGATTTTCGCTGTCGGTGAAGTCGGTGGGTCTTGTCAAAAAGCGACGGAGCTCGCGCAGATGACACGTACGCGACTGTCACATACGTAGTGCGTTCGGTGCCGATACCAGACGAGTGGATGAAAAGGGCGAGGAAGGGGTGCAGAAGCGTCGAGAACGGGCACGGTCTTCATCTCCAGAATGCGGTGCAGCTGTGACACCTCGCGCGCCAAGGTCGTCCACGAAGATCATCACGTTACACCCGCACGCGGCAGCCTTCGCAGCTCGTCATGAGACTCGGACGATGTACGGCGCTGTCCGTATCGAAGAACCGGTGAGGGATAAAGTGAAAGGTCGAACGTGAAGCTCCCGCTACCGCTTGTTGACCGGAGCGACGAATGTTTAATGCCTAATCAAACAAAATCGATTAGTGTCGGCGTGTGAGTGACGTGAACTTCTTTGGCTTTTGTCCTGGATTGATTTACCAAAGTGTACTCTCTTACAAAATTACTGCGTTGTTACATGTACTTAGCGCACGGCTGCGTCTTTTGATATCGTGCAACTTTAATCGAAAGTACAATACTCGCTGGTAAGTGACTGAATTAAAAACTGAACAATGCAAAAAAATGATTGATCGATGTTTGGAAGAATAAGAATGGATATGGAGTGTAGATATTTATCATCACAAAACTTGAAAATTATTCCGTCGCAACTTGACAGTAAACTGGATGCCTAGCATGATTAGATGCCTAAAAGAAAAAAAAGAAATAAGGAAATTTTTCCTTTAGAAGAAAAATTTTTTGAGAAGATTCTTTGAAAAGAACTAATTCATCTGTATTATTTGATTAGTCTAAGGATTTTCATCTGGACAATATTGGTGTGTGATTCTCGAGTGTTTGGTGTTACCTAGTAAAGATTTTTAACGAGAGTTTCAAGCGGGTTTCTTGTAGCTGGAAGACTTTTCGTGCTTAAGGCTCCAGCGAGAAGACATCATGTTGGTGGGTGAATTTTATCCTCCGCCGCCTGGTTCTTTTAATCGTCAAGGTGAACCGGGCCAATCCTTGCCGACGGTTCCATCTATCCCCTTTCCGAATACATCTGATAACAATAATGCAGGTAAGAAATATTTTCCATAATTTTGCAAGAGAATATTTATTTAGAAAATTAATAGGTATATTTTTATGCTAAGTTATAGTTTTTAAAAAATCTCCAAAATTTTTTAATAGCTTTCTATGATAATTTTTAAATAAATTCACAAATTAGCAGGAGTAACAACTCTTAAAAAAAATTTAAATGATAGAAATAGATAGAAAAAATGAAATATGATCAAAATTAACCTAAAAAATTCATATTGTTTCAAAAGAGATAGGAATAAAACGAGAATTGTTATCAACATTGCAATTATTATATGCGATATGGTTGCTAAAGGTCGAGATTGATGTCGGCATATGATTTATAGACTATCATATCTTGATATGGATAAAATAATATATTGCAGTAGGTAAAGCTAGTAATATTTCTTGAAAAATGAGCTATTAATTGTATTTGTTTAATAAATTAGAATCAAAAACATGAATATTAATTTGAAACAGAAAAAAGTTATCATCAACAAATTTTGGGCCTGTTCGTTTTAGTTGCACTGGGGCAGCTCTGGGTTTGCTCTAAACAAGATAATACAGGACAAACTATTTATCTGTCCTGTATTATCCTGTGTAGAGCAGACCCAGAGCAGCCCCAGTGTAGCTAAAACGAACAAGCCCTTTATATTTACTTACTCTCTTGAATGTTTTATAAAAGAATTTAGAAATATAAAATCCAGAAAAATATCAAATAAATACTTCTTGTTGAGCCTGAAGGGAGACAGTATTAACGTGAGACGCTCATTGAACGCTAATGAACGGTTTTATTTTGAAACGAACACGTGTCTGATTGGTTCACAGCATCTTAAGAACATACTTAAGACAATCTTAAATATAAGAATGGACTATAAACGCCGTTCATAGAGTTTAGTTCAAAATGGATATCACAATACATATATTTTTCGACAAGCATCGACAAGTCAGACGACGCGCGATTGATGACTCGTGGCTCGAAAAGTTCTTTGATTTGAAACTTATTTTCCGATACTCAACGGAATGCCTCAAGCCATCAATCGCAAGCCACGAGCAATGGCAAGCTACTCTATTCCACGGCTTGTGATTCGGGATGATGTGACGTAGCTTGCCAAGGCTCGATGAGTTTCCATCCTAGCCGCGGGAAAGCTAGGAAAACACAACGCAGGAAATAATTCCTTTTTATCCATTTTCTTCGCATTTTTGTAGAAGAGCTAAAAATTCGCATGCCCCAACTTGCCCCAATATACTCCAATCACTCCAATATACTCCAATCTATAGTATACGTTAACGTATACTATAGATTGAAATATATTGGAGCATGTTGGGGCACGCGACGTGAACAAAGGAACACATGAAAATAGTGCTTATAAACACTCAGAACGCATAAGCGTCCGAAGCAAACGCAAGCCCTTTATTTCCGACAAGTATTATCATAGTTTTGAATAGTAAGATAATGTCGGTCGCCGTTTATTCCGCAGAACCGTCCGTTTCCGTGAAGACGGAGTCTGGTCTTCTGGAGACGATCTGCGCCAACTGTGGCCGCACCATCGCCGACAAGTACGTGATGAGAGTCGCCGAGAGGAATTATCACGAAGATTGCCTCTCGTGCACGGCCTGCGGCACAATGCTGTCGCACTCGTGCTTCATACGCGACTTCAAGCTCTACTGCCGTTCCGATTACGAAAAAATCTTCGGGGTGAAGTGCGCGCGATGCATGGTGAAAATCAGCTGCTCGGACCTGGTGATGCGGCCGGTGTCCGGCTTGGTCTTTCACGTGGAGTGCTTCGCGTGTTGCATGTGCGGCCAGCCGTTGCCGAGAGGTGCACACTACATCCTCAGACAGGGCCAACCGATCTGCAGACGGGATTTCGAGCACGAATTATTTTTAAATAGTCCGCAAGGTGAGTGTACTGTGTGTCGATGGATGTGTGCGTATGTGTGCGCGCGCGTAGATTGTCTTTTTTTTAAATTGTATGTGTTACATTCACAAAACTGTGAACAAATATTTTATAGTTTTTATTCTTTATTTTCAATATCTGTGCAAAACCCAAAAACATTTTCTGATCAGTTTGAAAGTTACTTAAGCTTTATGTTTTTGTTGCTTTGTATGGAAAATAATGTACAGAACTTATTGACAAACTTGACAAGAAAGAAATATTGTCAATCAAGTCAAATTTTTTATGTATATTCACAAAATTCTAACAAATATTCATAATAAATGTTATTCGGATTTATTGATTAGTTTGTAAGTTGTTTAAAACATAATAAAATTAAAACCACTTAAAACTGCAGCAAAACTTGATCATTTCTTATCTCAATTATAGAGTTACTAAAAGTTAACACTAGAAATGTATTAGACAACAAGAATTCAAACAAATCCTTCTAAAACACTTCTCAATAAAAAAAGGACGAAATACTTGAGGAGAACAAGATTATTAAAAATCAGAAAATTATGTAATATATAATTCATGAAATTAATAATATTTTGCACATACAACGAAACAATTAGAAAAGATCAAATTCTTTCGCGATATTTTAAATGTTGAATAATGGCAAAATTTATTTGAGAAGCGACTATTTTGTTGTTAAAGAATTCTTATAATTTTTCTTGCATAAATTAATTTGATATTGTATCGTATTTTTATATAAATAACATGATAAACAAAAATAAAGAATAATCATTATTCTTGCTTGTCGATGCGCCATAATAATTGCTTTTTTCGTTAAAAGAAACTGTTTTAGTATAAAATATATGTATCCTAAATAGCATAAATGAAAAAGTATGTATGATGATTATTTTGCATGAGATGATTTTATGATATAGGTACACACTTTTATGTTAACTGCAAGTTCTGTTTTTATTATTTCTTTTTATGTGGAAATTGAATGACCCTGCGAAAGAGCTCAATTAAATGAATATCTCGATATACTTTGCGCGCATAGAGAGAAACCAAAAGAAACTAAGAATCTAACAATTGTTTCATATATTTTCCGCATTAACAAACTGCTCAGCTATCGCTTATATCGTCTTGTTCCATGTTGACAAGTATCGATCATCTACGTTTTCTACGTCAAATTCTAATGATTTGAGAATTGAGATTGGCGAGTGATACGAGTTTTTTAGCCACGAAGTAATTTCACGAAACCCCCTTGGATCATTGCCGCGGAATGCTTGAAAATGCAATCGAATGACAATAAAATGATACCGTTGAAAAGAAACGCATTGTACATACCTTGTTGCATTGTTCGCAGGTTGTACTACAATCTAAAGACATCCAAAGTAAAAATCTACAGGAATTTCGAAACAGGGCTGTTCCTTTTCAAGGTAATTACACTTAAATCAAGCATAAATGATCGAAAGCGATCGCGTGACATTCGCGGCATTATGAAATAGCATATCGTTGAATTCGCCAATCTTTTGCAAAGTCAAAAAATGTCTTAACAGCGGAAAGAAGACGGAATTTATTTAGGCGTTCATCCACCGATATATTTCGATAAAAATTTATGGCACGCGTTTCCAGATATTTTATTTGTTATTGGTGACGATAGAGAATGATGGAAGAGCAGTTTGTGAACTATTTATTATATATGTCCCTTCTTCCCTCGCACATTGAGCGTGTGAAATATGAATACAAGGAGTATATCGGAAATAAAAACACACATTTAATCAGCGAAACACCGAGAAAAATTCTAATGGAATGTTTTTAATAAATGCAGAAATTTCCACGAGAAGCAAAATAAATTACCAAAAATAATTTTTTACATTATACAGAATCGCAAAGGAAATTCTATCATGTCGGTTTTAATTGTTCATCATACTTTTATTAACAACCGTTGACGATTTAATGACGATCGCGTTCAATGATTTGATCAACAATCGCGCTGCCCCGCGCCCCCGCCGCGCGAAACAATTTTTAACAATGGAATTCCCGGAGTTCTTGAAATATTCCGAGCGGGAAATGGAATCCGCACGTATGGTCGGTGCGTTTATTCGCGGCCGACATGTTGCCGCGCCGCGGTACGTATGTTGCACGGTAGGCGTGGCCTGTGCTTTGTCGGATCACTGTCTGATCGAAACCATCCGTATCTACTACTTGACTTCGACCACTGGCCTCTTGAGTCTGACGATCAATCCATCCAATGGCAATATATACTAATAATTCGAAATACAGAATTATAGCAAATATATGCATAATTTATTTACAACAAATAATAATATAAAATTGCCATTTATTGTCCTTATTATTTCATATGTTTTGTATCAAATATTTTACATGCAATGAATTAACAATTTTAACCCTCCGATCATATTTTTATGAAACATATTGCGGACGGTGAAAGGAGAAGTGTATAAGATATTCTTGTTTATATCTTTTACTCATTTAATTATTTCTTACTAGACTATTGATATTAAAAATTAGAGAAGTGTAATGAATAAAAAATTAATAAGAGAAGATTGAGATTGTATATGTAAAATATTTATAAATATACAAAATATTATTAGAGGATGACTTACTGGACGAGAATCGACCAAGGGACGGCCGTCGGGGTCCAAAACGACCGCGGACGATTCTCACGTCGGCACAGCGGCGTCAATTCAAGGCGTCCTTCGAGGTGTCTCCGAAGCCCTGTAGGAAGGTGCGAGAAGCCCTGGCCAAGGATACTGGCCTCAGCGTGCGCGTTGTTCAAGTATGGTTCCAAAATCAGCGTGCAAAGATGAAGAAGCTTCAGAGAAAAGCCAAAACTGAGCCCGGATCCGACAAAGAGCCGAAGGAAGAGCGAAGGGCGGAAAGTCCGCACAGCGATCACAGTAAGAGCCTTTCCACAATATCATTCTACCAAGAGAACTCGTCGCTATATGTTTTAACACGTATCACTAATCCTTCCCGATTCCTCAGATTCCTTTTGGATCCTAAAACAAAAATTTCAAGCATTCTATTATTTTTAACCATTGATCGCAATTAATTCTAATCTTAACGATTCGCTTCATTTCGTGAATTATTTATTATTCATAAAAGTCATATGAAGTTAGCGTAAAATTGCAAGGAAAAAGAACAACTCGCGCGAGTCAAAAGACTTTTGCGAAGACTGGTTAATGGGGCTTTGGTAAACGAGTGAGTTCAATGTCAATTGTCTAATCTCGTTCGCAGGTCATTACTTGAACGCCCTGAACATGCGCGATGGGGAATCTTCTAACTTCCCCTCAGCCACCCAACCGCTCAACCCCAATAACCCGTACTCGCCCGACGGTAAGTCTTTACTCACCGTAGAAACTCATTTGCGCACCACGTCACAGACGATATGTGCGTATCGCGTTTGTGTCCCGACAGTTTTATACCAAGTGTCTAGAATACGCGAATTTCTGACCAATTTTTATTCGATTTTTCTAATAGCAAATTTTTCCCGGGCATTTCATCATTGATAGATTTCTCAGACAAAAAATCTAATAGAAATATGACCGATTGATCACTCTGCTCGAAATATAAAATATAGCGGGAAAAATGCAATTTACACAAAATAACGATTTTCTTTGTAATTTAAATTTCGCTTAACATAAATTTCGTCGATTATTTCGTATTTTCAAATTTATTTCTACATCGAAGGATTTAAGGTTTAAATAAAATTTTTAATGTTGGATATTAAAATGTTATAATAACTGCAGTTCATACAAAAATTATAAAAACATTTTTATAAAAAGTTTCCGAGAAATAAAATCTGTTTATTTTAGACACTTTTTTTCATATCAAAGGTAAAAGCTTTGATATATACCTTTTTCGGAACATTCTCATCGTCACGCGCCTACGCAGTTTCAAACCCAATATTTTTTTAGCTACTATAGCGCGCAAGAGAATGATTTTTTTTTTTCAAGTATCTCAAAACTGGAATTTTTAGCGTTTTTTTCAACTACGATCACACTCTGCCGTTTAATATCCCACTACGAGACATATACGCACTTATCCTACTTTTTTCTCCAGTAAAAAGTTAACTAAAAAACATTTTTCAAGTTTGTTTATCCAAACCCACATTAAGAGAGCTTGAACAAGTATTATTAATATATTTAAAAAATTCTTTTTTACATATTTAAGTGATTATTTTTAAAAATAAATTTAAATCAATTTGTAATGATATTTAAAGCAATAGTAATATTTATTCAAATTTAATTTTTATATAATATCAATACAAATACTTATAAATAAAAATTATGTAAATATCAAAAGACACACGGTCGTGTTTCACGCCAAGTATACGTATAACAATAAAAAATCTTAAAAAAAGAAAGATTATAAAAACTATAGCGCAGATGCAGAATGCAAAAAAGATTTCTTTATTATCAAAAGATATAAAGTAATGAAACATTTTCAAAATTAATCCAATTTTGAACTAATCTTAATCTGGTGGGATTTCTTCCTTCTGTCAATTTGTCATTTTTAGTTGGCGCTAATTTCTTATATCACATCTTTTGTAGGAATACATTAAATCAACACTGTTTTGCGTGTGTATAATAATGTTTCGATAAGAGCGCGTATACTTGGCGTTTTTTTATTTTTTTTTTTTAAGTATAATTTTAATGTTAATCACCGTGAATATACATTCCAATTTATACTGATTTGTTTCATATTAAACTGTGCATTTGCAAATAAAAATTATTTAGTAATTTCTCCTTCATTTCTTTGTATTTAGTATCAGTTCTGAAGTACCACACAAGTTGACTGACATAATGTTTTCCAAGTTTGTTTATTCAGAAAATTTTTCTCAACAAACTCATTAACGTATTAAAAAATATAAGTGTTTATTTTTAAACAAAATTATAATATCAAGGTTCTTACGATAAATATCACACAAAGAAATAAAGAGCAAATGAGCCAATGTTGATTGTCCGTACATATATTTTGAAATTTAAGATTGTAATCACAAACGTTTCTGCCTAGATAAAGCCTTCATCAGTGTTAAATTCTTGATATAAAAGTGTCTTACGCATCATTAAAACTATATAAACATAAAAAAAGCGCAACGCCAAGATGTGTCGCTAAACCGTGGCGTGAGAAAATGTTGAAATTCATATTCGTACAAAGGAGAAATGGAGCAGTAGTTCAAACGTTATAATATAAAAATTTCATTTGAATGAAGTAATATAATAAATTCACAGCAATGAGTCCGAGTTGTGGAAGAGTCAAAAATTTTTTTCCAGTAGACCAATAAATTAGTGTAAAACATGATAAAACTCTTATATTCCATGTTTCAAATATGTGTTACTCAGTCAAGTTTAAAACTCTTATTAAGAGTTTATTTTTTTAACTTATTGAGACTTTATTTTAAAAAACGTGCGAAAAGAAATTACATTTAACTTTACACGAAACGTTATCTCGTTTCTTCTAGACGCGTACCCGGGACATTCGGGGGAGAGCTTTTGTAGCAGCGACTTGTCCCTGGACGGCACGGATGGCGGCTTCGATATCGGCGAGAACGACGGCGGTGGCGCGGACGGCAGTCATCAAGGTGCTTCGCATTCCCACCACGGCTCATCATCGCACGACACCCCGTCACTGTCGCAGAGCCTGCACGCGACTATACACGACCCCATCAACAAACTGTTCATGATGCAGAGTAGTTATTTCAGTAGTGAACACGCGTAATCCAAGTTTCCCCTCTTCTCTCTGGCGTTCGTCGATTATTTCGCTCTTCTCGTCGACTGCCCCACTTTTTGTACCTCCTCTTACCTTTTCTATCAATCGGCTTGTTTTAATAGAGAAGTCGACATCGCATTTTCTTTTCCGCTTTCTTGCCACGAGATAATAATTGCGGCCAATTTGTCGAGAGCAGGTACTTTTTCGTTTTACGTGATTTGTTGTTAACCCATTTCTGGCCAACGTTGCAGAAGCGCAATATTTTTTGTGTTTTATCCTTATATGATTCAGGATATTTTCAAATGTCCGAATTTGCATCGTCGACGCAACGTCAAAGTGTCAACAGTTTTCCAAAAACATTTGCTATTTTTTTTGTCAATATAAAATCTGTATTCCTTTGTGTGTAATAAATACATATTCATAAGCACGCTACAAAGAATGTTATTATAAAACTTTCCTTGTCCTGTTTCTCATTCTGTAGCAAAAGAACAACGGATCCGATTAACGTTGCGTAATTTTTTGTTCGCAGGGAAGAGAGAGAGCCAAATCTTTTTGACGATTGTTTCTTGTCCTTAATAGTTTGAACGACTATAACGAATTATCGCAATAAATTCTTTTTTTTTCTGGGTTTGGCTAAAAATGGGTTAAGAAGAAAAATCATCGATACGATGTATCATTGATGTGACGCGAGAAATAATCAAAATAAATGCTTGTGATGAATACAATTCTTTTTAACAATTAATATCTATATATGTATTAATTACATTATTTTCTACAAAATAGTCTAAGCTCGTCAAGCTAACTAGGTAAGTTTATCGGCATCATTGTATGTAACGATTAACATGTAGCAATAATAATAATGAAATTAATAATAATGATATATCAATGAAAATAACGTACACTAATAAAGATGATCATCAATTTATTTGTTTTCGTCGTTTATTTATTGTAAATTTATCTAGTTAATATTAATTATTTATTAATAATGATTTTATTACTTATTTTAATTAATCTAAATTTGTGCACAAGATCTAATTAATTTGTTCTTTATATTTTTTTGATGATTCGCGAAAATGTGTTGTAAAGATAGCTGTATATTTTATATATTAAATATATTATGAGAATATTTAAGAAAACACACACATGTATGAGGTCTGACAAGTAAATTCGCAAACTTAAATAAAAAATGAAAATGATATACGATTAAATAAAATAAAAATCAATAATAAATATTGTAAGTTAAATAGTTTGAAGATTGGATTTTGTCATCATGTAAAATTTCAACATTTTGATTACATGTTAGATGAAGTTGCTAATAATTCAGGGATTAAAATCACACATAAAAAATATCTTCTGCTTTTCGTGTATAAAATGATATATTTAAATGTTTGATGTACGTTACATTTGTTCTTTTTCTGTGAGATCGTCACTAATCTACAATTTGCATCGCAACTATTAGCACAATAGTTATCTTTGCATCTACTCGTTTTGCTTCTATAATGAATATAGGCGTTCGCAATATTTTTCATTCATTCTATTTTGCATTGTGATTTCATTCTGATTGCGAGATAACTAGTATCGGAGCGAGGCAATAGGTCTGTCTACAATAATGCATTGTTCGCGGCGGTGCACAAGAGTCAACAATCAACCATTCTCATTTCGTCTAACATATTTCCGATAAAAATATCAATATAGTATTTGTTAAACGTTTCTAACAAGATTTTATATATTTCTCTGGCTTAAAACTACTTTAAAATTTGCTTAGATAGAAATAATTATTCATTGTCAACAATGCAATATATTATTAGATAGAAGTCATTTTTAATAGTCAACAATGATGCCTTGTGATTTTTTGGAGTATACTTTCAAGTTGCGATATTACTTTCTTGGTTTAAAAAATGCTTAACACTTGTGTGTTTACAATATAGTGATAATTTTTTCTTTAATTGTAAGATTATGTTGATTGACATTAAAATATTTTGTATTGTATCGAAAAATTTGCGTTTTTACATGCGAGCAAAAAAAATAACAAAAATAAAATTATACAAACAGATCAGAAGAATATTTATTACATGAATATTATGTCAAACAGGAATAAATTGCAAATATCTATACAAATATTTGCGAACAAAGTATTTGATCCCGTGTAAAATAATACAAAATTATTTGCGGAATAGAATAATGAAAGTGAAACATAACAAAAGAGATTAGCGGATCCTAATAACGTTTTAACAAAGCATTTGTGATTTTATATTATAAGTACGACTTTCAATTATTTTAATTTCTTGATTATGTCGTCTTAAAAAATTCGTAAATATAGGTACAAATTTGAAAAATTTATAATACATATAAAAATCAATTTCGATCGAATCAATGTGATGTATATAGATCCGCTTTTACATGTACTTTTACGCTTATTTCTTAAAGGTATATTTATCCTGCAGCGTGCATCTGTAAACAGCTATTATTACAGTCTCGACGTAGAAAATGGAACGTATGAATATATAATATTAACTTACTTTTTACGCGTATACTTTCACTTTAAATGTTTTAATGTTTCAATTTGAAACATTGTTTGAGTCATATTTTGTTAAAACGGTGTCTGTTTCTTTCAACAACAAGTCGCTCTTGTTGTAAATTATTGACGTTTCTTTTTTGTAACAATAAAATAATCTCACTGACTTATAAAATGCGAATATATAATATATAATAATATATAATAAAATACTTCAGTTTAAATATTTCCAATGCATGTAGAATCGATACAGCCAGAATATTAATTATTGCGACATCCTTTTTACAAAAAAAAATGAATGTCGACCGTGTTGTTCCTAAGTACTCGTACAATCGAGATAAGCTCAAGCGACCGTGGCTTGAATAATTGTCTACAGAAATTTCTCGCGAATGTCTATTCAACATCCGTATACTAACGCATGTAAAGCCCGCTGTAAGCGTGATATTTATGTATATTAAAAAAGGGACCGTTCGCATTTATAGTGAACAGTTCTTTTACATATATGTATAGAGAGATGTATGCATACATTGCTCTAACATACATAAAAGAGCGATGTATGTACACATCTCTACTTATATATATTGATGGCCCACTTAAATATATACAAATATGCACCTCTCAAAAGCGGTTGTTAAAAATCAACGACTCGATTCTCCGGCGTTCTCCGGTACGTCATCGATGCTTAGAAAAGATTTCATCACAGATCGTGCCTCCTAATTACGCGATCGGAAGCTGTTGTCGCGAGATTTCCAGTGCTCTTCGACTAACTAACGCGTCTATTCTTCAAAAATTATCTACATAAAATCTAAGTAAACTCATGGCGGTGACGAGTTGGAAAGCACGGAGATTACTTTCCGTACGCTTGACAACTACGGTCATCCATCGTCTAAGTTGCAAGCTGCGCTTCACATTTATGTCTCTCTCCGTTACGAAAAATCCGCGTGTTCATCTGATTCACTGGAAGGATTTCACTATGTCCACGATACTAACGTAGGTCCCCACCACCAGACCCAACAGTCCGAACACGATGAGGAGGATGTTCTTGATTAGCATGTATTTGTAGGGACCGAAATCGTTCTCCGGCCACAGCGCGCATATCTCAATAATCGCTGGGAAGGCGATGCCGAGGACGGACAGGCAGAGCGCTCCGAAAAGGGAGATAAATAAGCCAAGCCTCGGTACAGATATCGCCAAAACAACTGAAATGAGAGAAATATTTATAAGGATGATTTGACGATTTTTGTCTGTTTAACTTTAATCGTTTATCAAGGCGCAAATGTTTGTTCGTTTCCTTTAGCTATAATTTCCTTTCATTGTTTATTGCGTAAATATTTTATTCTCAATCTTTTCTACGTTGATTTACAAAATAATAATCGATCGATTCTTACAAATTGAACGATACTTACAGGTGATTAGGGTAACGCAGGTCCGACAAACGTATTCCCACAAAATTTTGCGATTTTTCACTCGCTTGTTGAGGTAAGTGTTCCATATGATTTCGACGGGCACGTAGGCTTGCAGGGCATACGTTATGAATATTGCAACGGCGAACATTATCTTAATACTTTGAGCCATACTGAAATCATACATGAGAAATGATTTAATAAAAAGCAATTAAGAGAAACGCTAACGGTTTTTCTGCTTGGTTGATCGTGTTCGTAATTGAAGTGCGATTGGCTTGTTTCACTTACGGCTCGTCCTGAGGCAGATTGAAAGTGACACTTCCTTCAGCTTCGGATCCGTATTTTAAGTAGCCAAAAAATCCCATGGCTATGTATAAAATAACGATCACAGTCATTCCTATGTTCAGTACACCGTAATAGCCTCCGAAATATTGAGGCGTCTGCATATTGTTCTCCAGAGCTATGATCTGCGTGAAAACAATATTATCTTTGTTGAATAAATTTCTCTTGTTTCCTTTTGGCAAACAGTGTCCCGAAAGAAATGGCATTTTTAACTTTGCCCTCTTTGCGCTTAATATTTCTTTCTAAATACTTTGCCTTAAATATGATAATGACAATTGATAAATTGAGAAATAAATAAATTTAAGAAATTAAGTTTTAGAAATATCTTTACAATTATAAACATTTATTTGGAGCCTTTGCACATTATTTCACGTCCAAAAGTCTTCATTTCTCGCAAGTGTCCAAGAAAAAAATTAATATTTTCCAAACTTACCACACCGACGGCTTCTAATGCGAATAACGTCGTTCCAAAATAGAGAGCAAAATTTCTGAATGTGCCGAACATCTCTCTTTCGCTGATCGACGGTACATCGTCAAACATGTACTTCAGAGTCATGGCGAGCCCGACAAATGTAATAAGATTTGCTAACGTGGAAAACGGCGTTAGTAACTTCAGATTTCTTATGTAGTTTATCAAAATTAACGGAAGTAATAAAATGAGCATATGAGTCGAAACATCCAATGGGATCCAGTACTGGTCTGCCACCTGTGTTCGTTAAAAAATCACAATGAATGCACTGTTTATTCGATATAATTTCTGTTAACACTTGTGTGAAAATTATCTGTGTCGATTAGCAAAGTATTCTCTCAACAGCGTAAACTAAAGAATATTTGAATGCTCACTTTTTATTGTACAATCATGGATTTACCTGCTTTATATTTGATGCTACAAACATAATATAAACACAGCAAATTCCCATTTGATATACTATCATAAATCCGTCTATGAGTAAGCTAGAAATAATAGATATTATTTAGATATTATAGATATTTTTTAAAATTATTAAAGTCTAATTAGATCAAATAATTATGTTTTTCTCGCGTTGCAATCGATATTTTTTTTGGTAGAACAACGTTCTATTAATATTTTTAGTATATGTTTAATTGCTAGAACTGATATAATATCTATTTGTACTTCTTTATCCACTGTAGAATTATTCTAAATTGTTAAATATTACTATAATTAAATAAATAAAACAGAAGGTACTTACGATGCGTATGGTGAAAACCAGCTCACACATCGAGGACCTTGTTCAAGAGCATATTTCATACTGTGTGGATAGCTCAATATAGGAACTTTTAACCGTTTACACAATTTGTACTGCGCCCTTACGAGTACGTGCAAGCAGTAAGTGCACAATGCTCCTATTATAATCGTAGCTATGACGCCGATAACGAGCCCGCTATTGCAAAATGCATTTGGCATCGCTAAAATCCCCGTGCCCAAACTTCCTTTCAGTAAATGAACCAAGGTTGCAAAATTTCTGAAACAAAAGATATATTTTCGTAGAAAAATGTCAGTGGTGGAAAAATTCTATGAATATTTTTTATATTGGTTTCTATTGCATATATTATTTTATGAAAGTATAGCATTATTTTCTATTTAATTATAATTTGTACTTACGAAGTTGGATTTGGTACGTTTCGGTGCTTATGAGGATCGTAATCCTCCGCGTCTGTAACAGTTTCGGTTACATTTACACTATCATTTACATCGTCTGGCGCGTTTGTAGTGATTTCATTGTTCTTCCTACGAATAAATGTTCAAATAACATAAATGTAATAAGAGTGATTAAAATATTAGAATTATTTCTAAATTAATCCTCCAATCTTTGATCGTTTTTGAATATATCTGTTGTATATAAGAATAATTTTAAGTTTATGGATATTCAATTGATCCGTACTTATCAGTATTTTGGGAATCCAGGTGCTGCAAACTTATCGATTCTTCCTTTGAATTCTCCATAATCGCGTAATTTTTTCAACTCTCGTGTCACTGAAACATTTTACATTTTTTTTACTCAATTGAACATATACTTACGTTATGTAAAATGTAAAAATATTAATTTTGTAATTACTACACTAGTGGACAATAAATTTAAATTGTAAAGTAAGAATTATACATAAGGAAGTGAATACCAAGCGAAAATCGTGCGCGTGTTTCGTAAATATTGTCGTTATATGAAAAGTTGTGGTTGTGTTTACCAGTGATTCAATAGGTACTTTAACTTTCACCTTCTACTGTGTTTGTCAACTTACAAACGCTATTTAAAATTGAATTTTACTGCCTATGTGTAGCTTACTACCTTACGGACGAAATAAGTTTAAGGAATTACATATTAAATTTTGTTAATTTATTTTTTGGATATAAACGGAGCAAGTGAATTGTATTCGAATATCTCGCTGATCTCACAGTACGTTAATTTTATTTCACTCAAAGTACGTTATTCTTATTTCATTAAAGTTAATTAAAAAATAATAATATTGTAAGTCAATGCAAAGATCGCTAATAACATCGACTTAGCTATAATATTATTTATTACTATCGTGGATTAAAACGCGCGTCACGCAAAGATCGACCCACATCGACGGGGCGGTTTGGTACATTAAACCTTTAATCAATTGGCGGATGTAGAGCAATGCAATAAAGTAAAAATGTCAATTCACCATCGCGAATCTGTCGTACGCGTACGCGACTTTAGCACGTTCTTTGCGAACTGATTGCTCTTAATTATTGCATTGAGGTCAAATGCAACTTGAGGTTAACTTACTGAAGGTTGCACTCGGTATCCTCGCACTTCGTTATTTACGCGTTTAACAGTTTTGCGTTGTTGAACTGAAGGATTGATCTCAAATACGCGCGAGGACAAAGTCTATTCTTGTAAAACGTTAATCCACTTTTAGCGGTGTGCAATGGTGCGCTTTGCAGTTTCACGACATTTAAAAATAGATAATTTTATCTTAAATTATTTAAAAAGACTACTTTAAAACAATTGTAATATGTAATTTGTTTAATTTATAATTATTAACAATTGCAATAATCATAATTTGCTATATTTCTGCCATGCAAATGGATCAGTGATGTAATAACAGACATTTTCCGATTCCTTGGCGGAGAAATATATTTGTTCTAAGGTCACGGCCAGAGAGAGAAATATCCGGAGAAAAGGAAATCATTATCTAATTAGAACAGATTGCTTCAAGACCGCGTATTCTGTTCGCGTTAAGATAAATTGCGCTATTAAGTTTTGTAACGACAACACGGAAGTGTCATTTGAACTAAATGCAAATCAAACTAATTCATCAAAATGCGTATTTTATCGGTAACACAATGCGCAACTGATTTATAATAACTGATAATGATTAAAATTTTTATACACTTTACATTTATTATTTGACACTTGTGTTTTGCACAATTTTGTCTTTTGTCTCATTATGATTCCTAATCTGCTAAGATTTCAACTTTGTAAATATCAAACTTTTTTTATGATTTCTGTGAAATGATAAAACTGGCTTACCTATTGCAGTCCTAATCAACTTTCAGCAATCGCTGGCATAGATTGTAATTTTCTTCGTTTGCAATTCTTTATGCCTACAATAGAAACCACAAAAATTTACTTTGGCACGATTGGAATTAATTATTTCGTTAAAATGTGTTTAAAAAAATACATTGTGATAATTAATAAATGCACTTAATCTTTCACAAAAAAGGTAACAGCAATAATAAATTACAATCAACAAAATTACAAAGGAAAAAGACATAGAATAGCGTCTGATTAACTCACGTGTCGAGTGTACGCTTGCTAAACGTACATTGAATACGTGAGTTAGGGTTCAAGCATTATCAATCCTCCTAATTCTTACTTCCTCGGTGTGAGTTAGGGGGACCTAGCGTATCATGCAGTCTCATGCTTGGAACAATATTGCTGGAAAATACCTGGTGGGTTCACTAATTTTAGATGACCGAAAGAGTTCTCTTTGGCAACGGGGACTGCTTTGACAGGTATCGTGCTATTTCAGAAGCATGCGAAAGACAGACGTGGATATAAATGAATGCTTGCTGAGAAATGAAATATGTTTTCGCATATTTCGAGTATGTCATTTTAATCATTCTATTTTTATAAATTTTTAAGTTGCGTTCTTAAAAAAATACTTTTACATTAACGTTTCGTAATAAATGGATTGTAAAATCAATCGCATATTAATCAAGTGTTAAACTCAAATCAAGTTAAATTGTGAGTTTCAAGGGCAGTGACAAAAATATATGGTTTAGAAATAACATATTGCAAATCGTATGGCAAGTGATCAATACGTAGGTATTGCATGTTATAAATATTAAATTTTAATAAAGTTTAATAAATGAATAATAAAGTCACATACGTTCTTACAAAAAAAAAATTCTCTACAAAAAGAAAAGAATTTGCGGACACAACAAATTTTAACTGTCGTAACAAAACATATGTATTACATATTATATATTATATGCAAGAAGATTGGTTAGAGGTATTAATTTTATTTGCTGCAAATAATTTTGCTAAATCTTGTAAATTATATCTCTCTCTCGCTATTATGACAAATTAATTATTATTTTGCCATCAAAACTTGTATTGGCAGCATTTTGCTGCATTAGCAAAATGTATTTGTTAAATATAAGTTATTTTGTTGCAGCAAATTAATATGTCTTTACGAACAAGTATACTGAGCAAAATTCATTTATTCTACCAGCAAAACAGATTTTATTGATATACATGATTTTGCTGAGTAATTTAAAAAGTTAATTATGATAGCAAAGTTTTGTCACATCTAATATGCAATTGGCAACGATGATTTCATTACGATAGCAAAATTCTTTTTTTTTTTTCGTGTGTTTTTGCCATTCTACAAAAAGAACACATCGAAGAAAAATGTATTAAATTATCAGATATAATATGTTAAATTTATGTTTCATATTCAATGACGTTGATCGATAATGTTGATAACGGTTTAACTTGAATTAATGCGTGTTACGATATGGTTACTATGTAACTGTATCGAGAGTCTGCAGTCACAGTACTCTTCCATCCGTTTAATCGTTCAATCTGTTGAGTTCTGCGCTGACGCACACTGTTAAATTTATCCGATGCAAATCGGATTAGAAAAACCAGCAAATGCTGTCTGATCAAATAATTACATTAATCACTACAATTTTTTACCTGAATAACGCAAGTGAATTAATCGATTAAAATATATTGTTTAACTGATTATACTACTAATTGAGTTTATCATAAAACAAATATATTTTTTTATCAAGTTGAAATATTTGTTAATAATTAAAAAAATTAAATTGTTTTGTCACAGATGACGTTTCAGCACAATGCGCATTTGTAGGAATTAAAATAAAAGATAAGATTAAATTGCATTCTTCGTTAATATCACTTATATTTGATTTTAGAACAAAATGCGTTATTTTCACTAAAATAAAAACGCACAGTGTATGACGCAAATGCTATATGCTTTATAAACAATGATAAAGTCTTTTTGCACAATTAGAAAATCTCTCACTGTCATTTGCAGACTTCACGGATCGCTAATGCAACGCGATATCAATTGAATCGAATAAACGGTTCAACTATTGCGTAACGGTTTCCTCATCGATCTTAATAGCGGTCACTTCACTGCTTATAACGTAAAGTAAGGGTTTATTTCATTAAAGCTCTAGAATAAATTTGCACCAGCACGATAAAAGGTGCAATCATGCAATTCGAAAAGCGGCATTTATTCTTACTGTTCTTAGTAATATGTAGAATTTAATTAAAATGTAAATCGGTTAATTCACACAGCGATCATCTATTGTCACAGAAATGTCTATAAAAATAAATTTCATAAATAAAATATTGTATTTTAATTTTTATACACAAGCTTTTGTTACTCTACGAATAAAATTATCCTTTCTTTGGCAAAAAGATTGATTTTGCTTAAGAAAAATTATAGATTACTGATAGATGTTAATAAATGTCGAGCATTTGATGTTAATCAATGTTCGTTAAGCATAAGCTACTTTTTATAATACAATTTTATGTTCCTATACAAGTATTTTATACAAATTAATGTAAAAACGTGCATTAATGCATTACATCGAATTTACATGTAGATGTAGATTTATGTATTGAAATCACGTATTAAGAATAATCCACATTTTGTATTATAATAAATTTTTTAAATTTAAGTTGCCAAAAACAAAATTTAATAATTTACTACATTTATGAAAAATAGTATTAACTAGCTATGATGGTTTTTTGCGAGCAATTGAATACTGTTGAAAAATCTAAACGTCAGCTGTTGATACACTTTGAATGGTTAATGGGACTAATGTTGCAACAATAGCCTATCATTATCAATGATGATAGGAATCGTTGATGTTCAAAATAGAGTCATGATCAATGAATACGCGATGATTAAAAATGGAGCAAGCGTAATTCTATTTCTAAAGAAACATCTTAACGAGGAAATAAGAAGAATGAAAGGAAATAATGAAATTTCGCGATCAAACGAACAAATCTATTACTTCCCGAAGTGATTAATATCTCGCGATTCATTCAGCGTTCGGATTTTCGCTTTTTTCAAACATGAGAGCGCGATTTGAAGACACGCAATCGACTTACCGGATTAAATGCATCCGTAAACGCGACGACTTCCGCAACCCCCGGCGGATGTAACCCGATCCTGAAGAGGCAACTACCCAGTTGGCGTTAATGCGTCGGCGACCGAGGATGTCTAGCGACTGCCCCGCACCACTTCAATTTCCACTGTGGTATACGCATTCAGCATAGCTTGTCACGTGATATGGCCAGTTAAAACGGCTTCTCGTAAATGCACGCAAGCGGAGATTTAGGCTCGGAGAACGCTAGTCAAAGCCCACGCAGCGAACTTCTACATCCGCACAAGAGGATTTAAAAAAGGACGAGAAACGTCCTCGATGTCGATCGATGCGCTATTTAATTTGTTACTCGGAAATATTATTAATGCCTCGACAATTTGCAGTGCTTTGCTTTTAATTATTATTATACTTAGATTAACAATCGTTTCTAATTTAACATGAAAACTTTTACTATAAAAAATTAATTTACTTATTAATAAGAACAAAATATAAAATATCGATATCTATATCTATTAATACTACGATGTTAATACAAAATAGCTAATATGAAAAAATAATGTACTGTAATAAAAATATAAAGGAAATAATTATGTGTGTATGGCATAGTATATATGTATTAATGATGCGCCAAGATTCATGCGAGAAGTGCACGTACACTACACGCAATAATAGTGATTGACAGAGGAATGCTGATGCTCTATTAATTTTTTCGAATCCATCTGGTAAAGCTCGTGGTAAGAATGTTAGAGAAAATAATTCTATCATTTTGGTTCATTTTTAATAACATTGAAGAAATTCGCGCAATTAGTATTTCGACACTTCAAGAATTAGAAAACATGCTTTTTTAGTACCGATTGTGAGCCGAATGAATTACAACTGTAATACCGCAAAAGTCGTTTAGCGCTTTACGCAAATGTGCTCCTTATTTCCTACTTTCTTGATCTTGTTGTTTTGCTCGCCGGGATGAAACCAATATTTTAAGTGACTTTAGTTAAAGCTTCACATAAATCAATAAGTGACTAGTTTATATCTGTATACTTAAAACATCGCCGACCGCTCGGGTAAATCTACGTTTCATGACGCATCACTGAATGACCGAACAGGGAGATCTACCTTTTTACACCAACGCTGCAACAGGCACTTGGTATAAATACGATAAGCGTCAATAACACCGCTATAACTCTGTAAAACTTTTTGTTAAAAAAAAATAGTTGCAAGCTATTTTATTTAACAAAACTAATTTTTAAAGCATTAATAAAATATCTTTAGAAGCTCAAATAGTGTGCGTAATATCTTCGGAAGTAATTATTTCGGAAGTAATTATAAATGCATCGAGCAGCAAGAAAGAATTGAGCGATTAATTGGAGGATGAATGATTGTCGACGCTAACAGATTTAGGTAAAAGATAATTTATTCTATAAAGTTGAAAAAAAGATAATCAAATCTTATATAAATTGCGCTAAAATGTTTTACATTTTAACAATATTTATACAGATATAATTCTTCGTGAGAAAATAGACTATAGATAATTTGTAGAGTTCTTTATCCCGTCGCATATGCATATCACAAACAGATAATACATCGATTATTTAGTTTTCATATTATATAATCCAATTATTAATTTTTAATTACGCGTATAGCATTTCAAATATTTTGTACAAGTTTCTATTAAAGAATTTCAATGAACTTTCAGTATAATGATCTACATTTAAATCGTTTTCATTTAGCCTACGTAATTGAAAGTGTTAAATGGTTATTCATGACAAATTTAATTATCCAGTTTTCGACTTAATTAACAATTATAGAAATTCGATATTTTTTACGTATACTTTAATCTTTATTGGCAGCTGTCTTTCAAGGCACCGTGCAATTCTGTCGCACCGCCACCAATGCTGCTCCTCGCATTTTCGATCGAAGCGATCTGGATCACGCGCGTTCCGCGTATAATAAAATCCAATTCAATATATAAACAAAAATGATTGTATTTTACATTAAATACTGTTACAAATTATTTTATTCTTTAAAATGAGAAATTATTCTACCTGAAAATATATAAAATAAAATTGCACATTAGCATTACGTACTTAAACATGCCCCGAAAAACAACGCAATTTGCAGTGATCCAAATTACTTCGATCGGAAAAAATTATTATTACTACTATGAGCTGTGGTCAATCGCTAATTTAAACACGTGCTGAACACGTTATATGAACGATAGTGCACCAAAACTGCAACTCTGTTTGCAACTTACGTTTGAACTTACTCGTTCGTCGTCTACACAAGAGAGTCACTTTATCACAGGTTATAGCATATGTATTAAACTACAACTGCGGCGGGATGAAAAATGCGAGACGGTTGTATGTGTGTACGTGTATGTACGTGTGTTTCGTGTGTGCGTACACTCCTGAATCAGTACATGTTGCTCATTTGGCTGGCTAGCAAAAGCTGCATGTGTGTGTATGTGTGTGTGTGTAACGAAAAAATGTTACGTGCAGCTGCGGCAGCCACGATGCCATTTACTGTCTATGAAAATTAGGGACGGATTTCCTTTACGTCACACGGAGGGTAACTACCCTCCTTGCGATCCATACGATAATAACTCCCAGCGACGTCTGGTGGTAGACAGAGCAAATTGTTCACCAGACTTGCGCGTGGCGAGTTTTTGGCTGATTCGGATGGTCGATCAAAGTTTGTACATTAACAATAAATGCTGCGCGATAAGTCTAATTGCTAAAATTAAAAAAATATGTGAAAAATATTTTATAGAACAAAATGTCGTGAAATAAACTTTATTCCTCTCGAATGTCCGAATGAACGTCGGACTTTGAAAACGTAACGAGCTTCTCTAGCAAGTAGAGCAAGTAATTCTACAAATCCTATTTTTTATAATTAACAGATATTTAATTATTTAATAAATAAATGTTTATTTAATAATTAACAAAATGTTTTGTGTTGTGTTTTTCATACAAAAATTTCATCAATTTTTTTCCATTTATAATCTTATGACATCTTTTTCATGTCAGACGCGAATATAAGATAGGCTATTCTATTATTTTATCAAGATCATGCTATTCTAAACAATTATAAAAATAATTCACAAACTTAAAGAAAAGAGTTCTTCAAAGTGTTCCATACGTGAAGCACAATCTACGCACATAAAATTTATATTGCAAATATTTTACTATTTCTAGAAAAAGAAAACGCTCCGCCCTCTGTGGTTTTGTATACAATGATACGATATCGATTTGTTGAGAATCAATATTGATCGTCTGGAAATCTGTATAAAACGCGAACAAACGAATAAGGAAAACAGGATGGCATTGATGAATGTTCTCATTTTTAGGCAGCAACCTGCTTATATCATTGAAATATCGATTCTTGCAGCTCGTCGCATGGTATAGCGTGTACACACGAACGCTATTCTATCATCTATTCTCCTTTCACGTTATAAAATATTAATAAGAATAACGGTCAAGAATCAAATGAAGCAATCGCTCTGTACTGCGTAATTCAAGTCGTAATTCAAGAAGTCGACGATAATTTCGGGGGGGAGGAATCCGAAATCGAGGGGGTAGCAGTAAGAAAATAAAATTATTTTTATTTATAATACAATAAAACCTTTTTTTTTTTTACACATTTTGTACTGTACATGACTGACGCGTACGCGCGCGCCAGGCGGCGTCGCACAGTTCATCTTCCGCACAAAAGTCTCGTGAATTACGCGTAAAACCAACGTGGCACTTAGGAACTTCATTTCGTCCGCGACGAATCGAAGCCGCAGTGTGACGGGCGAGCCGTTACGAAGTTAACGTTATTTCGGTCCCTCGGCTAAAGCCTCTAAATGCGCTTCTACTTTTAGATACACTCACTTTTAGCAATGATCAACTTTAACTACGTATCACATTGTCGTCGTTCCTCGCATGGAGAACGAGTCCTGCTCACTCCATCAGCACATTTCCACAGCACAATCCTTCGAACCGACTCCTCAGGAGAATTTCGCGATGATATCGCGAAGGCTCGTGTAGGTGCCAACAATCAGGCCTAACGCCCCGATCAGTATTAGGCACGTGTTCTTCGCTATCATGATCTTCTTCTCGGTGGGCCCCATCACTTTCCAGAAGGCGCACAGTTGGATGATCGCCGGGAAAGCAAGTCCCAAGGCCGACAGACATAACGCGCCAAACAGCGATATGAAGAGATCCAATTCCGGAATTGTAATTGCCAAACCGACTGAAATGGATTGCGAAAATCGACAATTAAGTAGCTATTTCGATTGCAAATATACAAGCGCATTAAAATCAAATTCAACGCTTTCTTCATTTTTCAGAATTAAAAATTCTTTATTTTATTAACAAAATGTCAAATTTAATGCACAGTTTGGAATTTGTAATATTACATGCCTACGTCTTTTAATTATTGACAAAGTTACTTGAAATGTACTCACAAGTAATCAGAATGATGGCAGTTCTAACTACATATTCCCAGAGCAGCTTGTAACGATACTTCTCAAGAAGCGTACTGATGTAGCCGTTCCACAATATATCGATGGCGACGTAGCACTGAATGGGATGCGTAAAAAAGATGGCAATAGCCAGAAGAATTTGTACCGCAATTCCCAGGTCTTCGTGGGTCGGCAGATTCAGCGTGATGCTACCAGCGATTTTGCTGCCGTAACGTATGTATCCGAAAAATCCCAGGACGGCGTACAGCACGACTATAACTCCCATTGCAATATTGAGAACGCCGCATGGTTTCATAAAGGATCGGGGTGTTTTCATCTCGTTTTCCAACGGCATTACCTGTAAGTAAATAGTAAATTATTATGGAATTCAAATTTTCGATTTCCTTAATTGTACTCTTTGTATTTTATTTGGATTTATTGCTTCAAAATATTACAAACAACTATAATTTCTTTCATAATTAAAGATAGCATGAATTAATGTTATATATAAGTTTATACTCATAAATTTAAATACAACATTAATTCATGCTATCTTTAATTGTACTCTTTGTATTTTATTTGAATTTATTGCTTTAAAATATTACAAATAACTATAATTTCTTTCATAATTAAAGATAGCATGAATTAATGTTATATATAAGTTTATACTCATAAATTTAAATATAACATTAATTCATGCTATCTTTAACTGTACTCTTTGTATTTTATTTGGATTTATTGCTTCAAAATATTACAAACTATAATTTCTTTCATAATTAAAGATAGCAATTAATGTTATATATAAGTTTATACTCATAAATTTAATTATTTTAATTAAATTGAGACTTTTCTATCTAAAATGTTTATTGTGTTTTGGTTGATTACTTACTACGCCGATGGATTCAAGGGCGAATAAGACGGTGCCAAAGAAGAGCGGGAAATTTTTAACTTCCCCAACAGTCACGCGGTCGTTGAACGTCAACGGCTCTCGAAAGATATAGTAAAGAATGATCGCAAACCCGGCGAACATAATAGCGTTTGCGATTGTTGAACACGGTGCCAAGTATTTAAGATTCTTGATGTAATTAACAAAGATCAAAGGTAACAGCAGAATTACCATGTATATCTCCAATTCCAATTTAACAAAAGAGCTCAATCCCTAGAAGAAGAAAAACATAACATGTAATTATTTATTAATGTGTGTATAAATACAAAAAATAAAATCACATTTCACACGCGTATAGAAAGAAATTTGAAATGACAGAATAATGGAAATCGCTTTAGATTAGATCAGACAAAAGATTTGAATATATTGTATGTTTCAAAGCAAAAAAAGTAAGCTTCGAGTTCACCAAGAAAACTAGAGCAAAAGTAGTATGCATTGCGAATGGAAAATGGAACATTTTTATTTTTGTCCAATTTTACACAAATTCCGAAATTCAAATTTTCGAATTTTTAGACTTCTGGTTAGTTCGAAATATTTGACCCAAACTGTTTGAATTGCCTGATTACTTGAAACTTCCGAGCACATAGATGAATTTTTAATGATAAAGTTTTCTTTGCACATCGATGATAAAGTGTGATGCATGACATGTATGGTATAGTCGACTTGCACTTCGCATCACTATACACTAACGATAACGGTAATAATATCGCTCGGAGGTGCATATGCAGATGATTATTATTAGCCGAACAAGGGCAGTGCTGTTGGCAAATGCGCTACCTGATACTTTGCGAAGCAATAGCCAAGAAAATGAAGCAAAACGATATTGTATATATTTACAGTGATGCAAATGATGTGCGCAGACATAATGAATAAAGTAGATCGTAAAATTCGTCGCAATGTCGTGCGACATCGCTTCTAACAATATCACTTTGAACATGCAAATCCGGCATGCAAAATGACGCGCGACTCTTTGCACTTGTGTGCGGACGCGGGTAAGCTTATTCTTTGATTCGTGAAAAGTTCTAATAAAAAGTCGATGGACACTAAACGCATAATGCCATATGCTAAATGCAGTTTGTGACACGTTAAATAGCTTCACGGCGCAAATCGTGTTTAAAATAAGACGTAATCTTCAAAATATTCTAACGAGTTCTCGGTAGGATAACAAAGCTGCTCGATTCCGTTAATGCGACTAATCACATTGACAATCATATGTCGAGAACAGCACAATCGGCACTGGCTTGTCGAGTATTACATTTACGTGACATTGAATTCGTAATTAAATCGCGCGCTGGACTTCTCGGAAACGTCTATACATACCATTTTCCTGTCATGGAACCTGAACATCACCTTCGCAATGCATGTCCTCGAATGAGAACTTTTCGCCGTCATTAGACGAAAGGTCACCTCCGTTTATGACACTTACGTTTTTCAATCACGTAGCGTCTGAAAACATAACGACGCACGGATGACAGTATCTTCGCTCATCTTCTCATTCATTCGGAATTTCGTTGAAAATTGAATATTGAATCTCTCTTTCTCTCTAAGAGAAAAAATCAAAGTTAATAAATCATCGTTAAAAATAAATTTAAATGTTAGAAAAAATCAAAATAATCAGTATTAAGTTAATTTTTTACATGCTATAATTGATTTTATCATCCCATTGTTGTTAAATATGCAAATTTCTATAGAAAATAAGTTACAAAAAGAATTATTTTATAGAATATTATAAAAGAAATATTTTAATAAATATATTAATAAGTGTAAAAACACAATAGAAACTTGTAGATTATATTACATATTACGTATCGCTCATAAAACATTGTCAATTTTTTACTATCATTTTCCGTCGATAAAGTACCAAAATATAATTTTTGATACTACAGAATTCACAAAATAAAAAATTGTCTCAATTAATTCTCAACGAAAGTCAATTTTCGAATAATTCCAAATAAACGTGAACATGAGTAAAAAAATTTTACAATACGTGCGTCATTGTATCTCAGAGTGCTAATTAACATACAGATCGTTAATTCATAGTGCAAGAAAATAAAATGATTAACAAAAATGAATAACAAATTTCCTGCAAATACATCATAAAGTGATTAAATCTAAATTCCAGGGATTCTAGCGATTAATGAATGTAATTTCGCAAATATTTAGCTAATTTATCGCATTTGATTAACAAGCGTTATATATGACGACTTCGCTTTTACGTACTGTCATTACGATGTTTCGATTTCAAGGACAAGCGGAAATGGGCGCGTTACAATCGTTTAACGCGTTTCATTTGTCGCTATCGAATCTAGCCTTCATCTTACGTAAGATACACATAATGATGCATGGACGACATGCAATCAATTAAACACACACTTGAAAATTAATATTTGCCTGTATTTCCACGAATTGCGTATTATATAAAACAATATTTATACATCAGCTTTACATGCTGATGAATTCATTAAAGTCATTAAATCGATAAAATAAATATAAATAAAAAAAGTATTTATAATTAGTCTTTTTTAGTGTAAAAAAGTGTACTCAATAAAAAATACAGAGCCTACAAAAATTATTCTAGTGATCTGAATGATGCAAATCACCTTGAACATATTTATTGAAGAAACATCTTTTAATCTTAATTTGATCGTTACAATGTGATAAAGAGATACCACTATTTTTCGTTATTCCTCTTGTAGCAATTACGGTACGTAATGTTTTGCGATAATCAGCACAATTATCAGCTACATCTGCGTGTAGTTAATTATGTACTATGTACATTTAATATAAAAATATCGTAATATGTACATTTAATATCGAAAATATGAACTATTCTTTTATATTCATAATTTTATAATAAAATAAGTTAAATCGATAAAGTAAATTAATTCGATTAAATATAATAAATTATAAATAATTTAAAAAAACATAAAATTATTTATAAAAAGTAAATAATAAAAATTAAAAAATGTTTCCTGCCCTTTTGAGATGATAATTTAAACTAATCGAAGCTATCAAAACATTATTATTCACAAATACACATATTATTTTTTATCGCGTGAATGACTGTTGTATCCACTTATTGCTTATCAAAAAATGATGGTAAATAAGACGATACCATAAGTGATTCGATAACGATAGCAATCATTGCTTTTTGATATTACAATTACAACAAAATTTTCCAGAAACGTTAAACAAAACAATATTGAGTGGATATCGGAATCTTAGAAATCCTCTTTAAAGATAACGATATCTGCGGAATAAAATAATTTACTCATGTTTTCGATGTTCAAATTAAGATATCTCTTTCAGCGGACATTTTAAATGACCGCTTAGATCGTTCACTGATAATTCCGTCACTGGAATTATTGCACAACGCGCGTTTAACTGCCTTGTATCGATGCTAGAGTGAATAACCCGTCACCAGAAGCTTCCGGATAGGAATAATTCATCAGCCGCGTTTACAAGCCGCGTCTACGTGCGAGCATGCGGCAACGGCAGCGTATCATGAGCCGAGTTAAACGACTTCTAGAATTACTTCCTTAGTTTCAGATGTCACAGATTTATGGGTTACATACATAAAGATAGACCAGTCTTTGAAGGAACTTTAGATTCTAACAATAAAAGCGTGAAATCGCCCTTTCAAAATTTCTCGAAACACTGCGACGCTCAGTTCACATTGCTTGTGAGAACGTTATTTGCATCCTTTTCGTAAAAGAATAATATTATATATCGAATATGTTCTTTGGTCTATGCCTCATTTTTGCACAATATTTTATCTATACTCATTTTACTTATATTATGTTTGTTGTAAACGACAAAACATTGCGACACGCGTGAAATTATACAATTTGTAAACCTGTTTGTTCTTTTATATTTCTCAAGTTTACTATTTTTGCGGCAAAGTTGGTTAAGTTTGCGTGTCTGATGTATGTCTATCCTGATATTCGAAAAGAAAATTCAATAGTATCTTGACATTTATCTGAAACTTTGAACGATTAATGTATCTGTTTTGTGTGCGATTCCGTTCACTTCGCATCCGACCCTCATGCTTGCGAACGCAGGCGGCATTCAGGTTTACGTGAATGCACGCGTTGCATCTACACACACTCTACTTACTTGCCATAATAACATATGTCGTAACGACAGTTAACTATCTATTACATTGCGTACTACGCAACACCTCCCAATCCGGTTAAAGTATCGTCCACATGAGATTTAGCGCAAATTACTATATTATAAATTGTATTATGTAAATGTCTTGTATTGCATTTTTGCAGCATAGATGCAAACATTTATTTTCCTATGTAACGCTTATTTTACACAGCAAAATGTTTGTTCAATAATTTAATTAATCGATCTCCCAAATTACTATTCTTCATCCACAAATAAGACACTTGGCTCGTTAAATAAAGAGTGTCCAAAAGTTACTCCTTAAATATAATATATTTTGAATGGCTAAATTGCTAAAATTTTCCAAAAATGTTGCAATGGCACTTTCATGCATTAAAAAAGTGCATGTCAATAATCGAAACAGAATTGCAATGAGTTGAAAACAAATTTTGCGCTGTTATATGATTCTTATGTGAACGATACTTAAGTTAATGCTTGTCCGACGCGGCAGACAGTTCTTACTTGATGTAATGTAATCCTGTAATCGTGATAAGATTCTATTTGCTTCGCGTTGTTGCAATAATTTCTCGTACGATCGACGAGATAGTAAAATTCCATAATAAATCATTTCACATGCGCGCGACTTTGCGCGCAGTCTGACGTAAAATAAGAATGGGACAAACATAATTGACATAAATACGTGAATTTGTAATCTTCATAAACATGACACAATTATTTATTATCAAGATTCCATGTAAACAAAAACATTATTTTTATTAAAAAATGAGTTTTGCAAAATTTGTTCCAACTGACATATATGGATTATATGAAAAATAGCGGAAAATCTTTGTTTAAAAAATTTTCAGAGTAAACTGCATTTGGTAAAATTATGGAAATTTGCGCGGAAACGAGCAACATCCTCGATACAACATCAGCGAAAACGTCGATGACCGACCGTCTATGTTAGTACAATCACCTTGACTCAAACCGTACGTGCATTAATTACAACGACTGTCTACTTGCGTATTCCTGCGGCGTATATTTCCCTGGCCTAGATTATTCCTTTTTCTACCTACGTGCTTTAATCCTGGTGAATATCGCGATATCGGATTGATTAGCGCATTAAAATAATCGTTATGCGAGAAAGAATTCGCATAAATTATTAATCAACGTGATGCAAACGAGTATAAAAGAGATTAATAATATACATACGCGGAATGCATTTGCGGGACACGATTATATATTATCAAATCTAAATCGATATTGTTTTAATAAAATTACTCAATAATAAAACCTATAAAACAAAAAACAAATTTTATTTTAATTTAATGTTTGTTTGGTCTTGAGATGTTAATTTATTTAAATCAAATCTTTTTTTTTTCGAATTGTTATTGACACCGGAACTTATGAATAATAAATAGACAAGTTGTATTTCATTTTTTGTTAAACGTAATAAACTTGTCTCAACCAGGTCTTCGTTCATATCAAATGCGCATTACAAATGAAGTGCACGTTCACGAACATTTACATGCCGAAGATAAAAATCTATTTTAAAGTTGAATTTTATGACATTTGGAAAGCGTAATGCAATACGAACTGAAAATAGTGAGGATACTCACCAGTTGCAGATTTCTGGAAATGAATACCAAGTAGACGCAGCAAGTGCCCATCTGATATACCAACAGGAAGATGTTTATTATGTGTCTACGAACAAAAAAAACAAATGTTTTTCATGAAGGAGGTGTAAGAGTTGCCATTAAGATTTCTAATCGTGTTCTCATTGCTTAAATTAAAGTATTATAATAAAACTCAATAGTACAATAAATGCTATTATAATCATATTATCGTTTATTCAACTATCAAATTAAACAAACTCTTTTTAATTAAAAATAAATAAGAACTATTTTATACTAAAATAGAGTTTCTAAAATTATATATTAAATGTATATACTGGAGATTTAATTTACTTACATGGAACTTTTGGAGAACCGTCTCAGAAATACTGGTCCTTCGAGTAAAGCACTTTGCGCAGTCACCGGATACGTCATGGAGGGCACTCTGTTCCGTTTACATAATTCGTATTCTGAACGAACAAGAATTCGCATGCAATATGTACAGAGAAGCCCTATGATAATTGTGGCTACCAAACCAACGATGTATCCGGCATTGTAGAAGGCCTTTGGCATCGCAAGAATTCCAGTGCCCAAACTGCCCTTCAGCAAATGGAGCAATGTTTCCGCATCGCTGGAAATTCACGTTGGAAAGAAATCAGATATTTACTGCTGCTACCCGCAATAAATATGATAATTGGTAAGTTTATTACGACAGAGAATCGTACGCGTCAAGCATTTCGCGTTTTTCACCAGGAAAATGATTCACCGAGACTTCCGATTTCATTATTGAATGTAGGAAATTACGCTAATAAGCCGCTTAGCGCAAGACGTGCGGTGAATAATCAACTGTTATTTTGCATGCAAAGAAAGTGTCGCATGGCGCGTTACGTAGCATTCTTAATCATCTTGTATGACAAGTTATATCGTTTTTCATTATGATTAACTCTTTAATAAAACATGCTCCTTCATGAATCTCGATTGGATAATTCCTGTTTAGTTAAATGCCAAGTGATGCAAATAATAATTTTCTTTGAATACCGTCTTATTAATTAGCTGCTTTTAAGTCTCAATTTTCAACACATACTGCTAATACTGGATTTTATTTAGATAATAAAAAAACATGGAAAATGCTGTCATTATAAAAATGTCATTCTTTTTTAATTATTATATGCGCGCGCATGATATATTGCAAAACTTTAAAAATTACATTACAATCCATTTATATGATTGACGTTGATTTTGAATAACTTTTAAAAGCACGTAACAATTTACTTTTCTATTAAAAAGAAATGATAATTAATCTTTTAGTTTAATTTTAATATAGTAAAAATAAATTAAGCTACTAGAGCCGGAGTTGATATTGCTCATTTATTAAATTATATTATCAACAATCCAGTTGTACAAACGTTTCGATCATTTTTCGTGATCATCTTCAGTGTGACTCATTCTTCAAATAATGTGCCAATGTAACTGCCTTGTAAGCAA